TTACAATTGACAGCTGAATTTCACTTTAGGGAGCAATTTTGCTAAAGAAGATGACGGTTTAGAACATGATAATGGGAAAGAAAATTAAGAAGATGAAAGAGCTACTCAGATTGAGCTTCTGGGTCCCCGTCCTCTCCATCAGAAAAGTAGACATAATAAAAATGCTCGCCACCTCCTGTCATGTCATGTGAATTAAGACTTAGAGGAGTTCCTTAGTGGAAAACATTTTATAACTGGTTAAAAAAATCAGTGAATTCATTGAGATGCCAGCTTCTAAGAAATCCATTTTGGAAAGAATTGTAGAGAGTGAAAATTACCAGGTAAATTGGAGAGGAATGTTTTCTTAAGTCAAAAATTTCACTTGTAATTTAGCTTATCAAGAAACACTCACAGCCTCGTTTGCTTGTGCTTGTTCCTTTCTAAAGGGCAGGGAAGGAGGGAGATTTGATGAGGGGGGGAACATGGTGGCAAACCTGGTCCTCAATGGAGAGGTCATTTGAGTGGCCTCAAATGCAGAAAGGCGGGCCATTCGTAAGGAATTCCTACACAAGGCCTCAACTAGAGACATAGAAGTTTCAGGTACTGAGAAATTAGCACATGGCCTTGGAGAGAAAGTGGGAGAAAAATGAGGGAGGGGATACCAAGTTCAATAAGAAAGGTATTCACTACCTTACATATGTAACTGTACATCACCTTGACAATAAAACTAAATTTAGAAAAGAAAAAGGTTTCAAAACAGCCAGCTTTGCTGGGCACTGGTGGCTCATGCCTGTAATCCTAGAGGCTGAAATTTGAGGATCTCTTTTATAACCCAGCCCAGGAAGGAAAGTAACTCTGTGAGACTCTAATCTCCAATGAATCACTAAAAAGCTGGAAGTGGAGCTGTGGCTCAAGTAGTAGAGCACTAAATTGGAAACACACACACACACATGCACATACACACACACACACACCACACACACACACACACACACACAGCTTTGTGCAATGGAAACTATACAGCAAACAATCTAGACATGGTTTTCATAGGAATTTCTTCTGGAATGCATTAATTGCAGGCATCAGTTGACAGCTCTCCAGAAATATTTTTTAATTTGTCAAATTTGTTCCTTGTCTGCTCTCCACCCTCATTGAACACTTCCTAGGTCTGGTCTGCTTACCTCATAGGGTACCCTAAAGTGCAGCATTTGTACCTCAAACCCGTCACCCACTTCCACAAGGGCTTTTTACAATCCTTTGATAATATCTCCAAATCACACTTCCACCGTTTTGTTGCTCAGAACTTTTTTGGTGCTTAGAAGAATAACAAAAGAGTTAACAGTTATTGAGCAGGCGTGCACATGTGCGTGCATACATGCATACACACATGCATGGACAATGTATTTAAAGGCTCAATTTTTCTGAGAGAAAATAGTGCCTTTTGTATGGTTAATATCCTGAAGAGTTGGAGAGGAATTGGAAAGTGCCTACAAATTGTTCATCTTAAGTTTCTAAAGGCTAATTTGTTAGGAAAGACACAGCTGTATAAAGCTATCATCAAAATATAAGAGGGCCAAGTAACAGAGTAACAGCCAAGTATGTCGGCTCAAGCCTGTAATTCCAGCACTGAGGAGACTAAGGTAGGAGAATTGTGTTGAAGGATAGTGTGAGCCACAGAGAAAGTTTGAGGACAGCCTGAAATATGGTTCCAAACCCTCTCTCTGGAAAAGAGACAAAGATAAGCTAGAGGCTGAGGCATTGCTCAGGTAATAGAGCACTAACTTGCAAGCAAAAGCATCAGACCCTGAGTTCAAGCCTTGGTCCCAAAAGGAAAAGAAAAATCAAGTCAAATCACTACTTTTGCTATTTAAAATTTTTACATCAAAATATACAAACTCTTAAGATACATGAATGTTTGCAGAATATCTTTGAATTCCCCCAAATGCACACAGTTATTTTGTCATATCATCCCTGTAAGTATTCTTGCTTTAGAATATTCCCTATTGGAAGTGACTAGCAAAAAATTTTCAATTCATAAAAAGTCAATTTTCACAATAGTGCTGGTCAGAAGTTGTTTGGAAAATTGTCAGGTAATTAAATTGTGTTTCAGCTGACAGTGTGATTAGTCAGCAGCTGGCTGAAGGCGAAAACACGTGCTGAACATTGTCAACCTTTACAGGACCAAAGGAGGGTCCAATTATGCTGTCTCAAAATAGAGACAGATGATGATTCCAGGGAATAATGGTTACTAAGGAACTGGATAGTTTTAGCAAACTAAAATAAGCCTTTGAAAAAATTCCAATCGTTAAACAAGGACTAAAAGAGACTTACTAACAAACGTTGCTTCTTTCCCTCATTTGTGGTAGCTAGCTTGTGCCTATAAACTTACAGGTTAACATACTGGGTGTTATGCAAATGGTTACAAATGAATTAACTGAAGTGTAGACTTCAGTTATTAGACTCTGGAGAGTTTAAATTGTATAATTCTTTCAAAAGTCTAAGTCAAAGCCCAACAAGCTAAGTTCCAGGAAACGTGTACTTGTAAGGGAGGGAAGAGAGGTAAAGGTGAGAAGAATAGATGAATGAAAGGGGGAAGAGGGGTGAATACAGACAATAATTCGTTGTATATACCACAAAACAGGAAAATGAGGGAACTGATGGGTTGAAGGGAGGGGTGTAGATGTTAAAGGGATTACACAGATCAAGGTGCATTGTCTACATAAATTGCTTTATTAGATGGCATGTACATATATATGGCATATACATATATCCTACAAAATTGAGTAATGAGGAAAGGGTGGGTGAAAAGATTGAAAGGGGTGACATTGATCAAGCTGTACTGTATTCATAAATTGCTTTTTGGAATGACAACTCCTTTGTAAAACTACTTAAAGATAATACAAATATTTTTTAATAAAATAGCCAACTAGTGAAAAGAAATCAACAACGACGACAAAAAAGAAAAAGTAAATTATGAAGACGTGTTGGTCAATAGTATTGATTAACCACTTAGCAGCTCTATCAGGTTATTAGTGTTTACTCTGTTGGAACCAAATGATATTTTAAAATTTGTTTCAGTAATTCTTATCAGGCTGCTTTCCATGTATTATGCAACTCAAGTGATCTTTAAATTATTGTCAAATTCTGCGTTAAAGAGGGCTTTCAGAAAGGACATGCAATTCATATCAGCTAGAGTTACTGTCATATCTAGGCTAAGTCCCGTGGAAATTCATAACTTAGAAATGAATATCACCAACATACAACTGCCTTCGTAATGCCTATACTCATACATTTTTCATGAGTGTTGCACAGGACAGGGTCAGATCTCCATTTTCATGAGTTAGAATTTGTACAGCTAACTCTCCAGATTTTACTATTCATAATGCACAGTCAGCCCCGTACAGCATACCATAGAGTGCTTTTTAATATTTATGTTTAATGAAGAAATTACTGTCCTGAAAAGGGAACAAGCCCAGCCAAAGACTTCTTGTTGAAAGTATTAAGACTTGCTGAAAAGCAAATGATAGCAAGCAACAGAAATTACCTCATTTCAGTATCTCAGAAAATAAACACATAACATTTTAGAGGCATGCAGGATGACAGATCAAGATACATTCAAAGTAAGTGAAAAGGTTCTTTCTAAAGGTTATAACACCTGAAATCTCATCTCAAAAGACCTTAAAAGGTTAAAGTGCAAACAGTAACTTTCTTAAGTACACAAATATTACTTCTGGATGAGAGACTTACTGACAATGTCATAGTGTAAAATATATGTCCATCTTTTCTTGGGTTTTTCTTTATTCAAAGAACTTAATTCACTAAAATGATATTACTAGGTTCAATAATTAATTAGGATTGCCTACCTTAAGGTAATTTATCACAGTGCATTATCAGCAACTGTCAGAATAAATTTGGCACTCAAAGTAATAAGAGGGAAAAAAGGCTATTGTATGTATTGAAATCAAAGAATTACCACAGCTAACTTATTTCAATGGAAAGGTTGTTGGGTTTGTTTTTTTTTTTTTGCCTCTAAATGATTCTTGTCCCATGAGAAAATAAATGCTTGAAGAAACAAAAAGTCACAGAAAAAGGCAAAAGACAATGTTTATTCTCTGCTTTTAAAAATGAACACTTGATGCTTTTTTTCATTGTTGTCATTTGGATCAATTCTTTCAAGTAAATGAGTAAAACTGGCTGTACTGATCTAACATTGACAAAAGCGAGCAGGTGTGATCAAGGCTAAATCCCCCTTTAGCGTGTATATATTTCACATCTAGATGTATGGTGATGTCACTGCTAGACTTTCTTTTGATACACTTCAGTGAGAACATGTTTTCTAATGAAAAGAACAACAGGCTTCAGATTCAATACCTCTCACTGGGAGTCAGATGTCCAAATGTATATCTTTTATTAGACATGAAGTCACTAGAAATTCTGGAATATTTCCTGAACCAAAAGTTTCTCTTTCATTCCTAATATTACACATGTGTGTGCATGTGTGTGTGTGTGTGTGTGTGTGTGTGTGTGTGTGTGAATATTTGGGCTTTACCTTGGATGCTGCTTTCCTTTAGAACTTTCAGCTCAAGGCTAGCACTTTATCACTTGAGCCACAGCTCCACTTCCAGCTTTTTGCTGGTTAATTAGAGATAAGAGTCTCAGGGGCTTTTAACTGACTAGATTAGGCTGGGTTTGAGCTGTGATCCTCAGATCTTAGGCTAGGATTGCTGGTATGAGTCATTAGAAACATTCTTTTCCATCTTATTCTTTGTAATTTTATTTTCCAAAGACTTCCTGGAGAAATGTAACCTTTAGTTTATAAGTTTGTAGTTCAGTTGAAGTGTGTTAACCCTCGGTTCTCTAACCAGTCTAGGTGTAATACTGAGGAAGAATTTGAGAACTGTACCATAAACCTCATTGTCAGATTGGGTTTGTCTTACACATCTGGCTTTCACTTGGGCTGGAACACATTTTGATTGCAATTCCTTAATGATGTTCTATGTTTAACTGACCTATTTGAACAGGATCCAGAGCTGGTACGGAACATCTGCCGCTGGGTTAGGCAAGCTGTTCAGATCCCTTTTTTTGCCAAATTGACCCCAAATGTCACGGATATTGTAAGCATCGCAAGAGCGGCGAAGGAAGGTAAGACCTAGACTTGTACTAGTGCTCAGTTATGTATTAGCATGAATTCTGTAGCCATATCAAAAGATGCCTTCTTTTTGTAGACAGATAAGTATATCATGACTTTAAGAAAGAACAAGTTCATAAAATACTTCTCACAAATACTCAAAAAGAGTGTTGCTATATCAGATCTAGGTGCATACATGCACTTCAGCTAATAAACAGAAACCCAACTTTGACCTAGGGTCACAAAATAACAGAATCTAGGCACCCAGGGAATTTGAGGATTGTGCTTCAAAGCCAGTCTTCACAGAAAAATCCAAGAGATTCATATGTCCAGCTATCAAAAAGCCAGAACTGTGTGCCTCAAGTGGTAGAGTACTAGTCTTGAGCAAGAAAGAAAGGAAAAAGAGAGAGAGAAAAAAAGAAATGAAAGAAAAAAAGGCAAAATAAAACTTAAAAAAGATAATTTTTTCTAATATATCCATATTTTGCACACAAACCAGTTTTGAGACAAAGCTACAGCAACAGCAGACCACTCTGTACTTAAGGAATTCATAATATTTCAATTAACAAGAGAGCATTTGACTCTGCATTGAGGTGGATAAAAAAGATGCCAAGTGCTACACTGTGAAATTGCTTAGGAGTTTCCTTAGTATACCACCTTAAACACACACTCAACACTTATCTGTTGCATTCATAAATCATAGAGTCCATGTATGGCTTGATAAATCATGTATGCTTATGCTGAATGCCATAAGAAATCTCACGTTGACTTGAAGAAATATTGTAAATTACCTGAGCAGTAACGCTCAGTACAAAACTCTGGCACCGACAAATCTACCTCATAAGTGGAAAAAATAAATGCAATCATGTGTATTAAAACAAGGGGCATAATTGTCAGAGTTAAATTAGGGTGTACTTTGAGGAGAGGAAACGTTCTCCGAGGAAAGTAAAGTGTGGACTTCCCTGAGTCGTTTGTGTTGGGCTGGGTCTTGACTAATATTTCTTGAAGAACTGCAGACAAATGTTGTCTGTCTTACTGTGTCACAGGTGGTGCCGATGGAGTGACAGCCACCAACACTGTCTCAGGGCTGATGGGACTGAAAGCGGATGGCACTCCTTGGCCAGCAGTGGGTGTCGGAAAGCGGACCACCTATGGAGGAGTGTCAGGTAGGTGCTGTCATCTTCAATTCTGTTTCTCTGGCCATGGCTGGCCGAGCAGTAGGTCACGTAGCAAACAAGAACACCGTGTCTTTTGTGATCTCAAGTTCTTATAAGTCATGGAAGCGTCAATGTTGGTAATGGCTATGATAGATGGACAGACCGAATGTGGAGATGGATGAATACTCACCCTGGGGTCTTGCACAAATTCCTCTCTTGTCATACCACCTATTAGAGAGGGCTAATACCAGGGCTTCACCAGAGAAACGAATGTCATCACTCTAATTATCATACTTTTACAGAGTCTCAACTTGTTCTAATTATCATACTTTTACACCGGTCTTGAAATGACTTTCCTCTCTTCCCAGAATTTTACAATCTACCTTCAAAAAAAACAGAAAAAAGAAAAACAAATAACTCTTGATTTCACAACTGTCTCAAACTAGCCATTCACACATTCCATTGAAGCCTCATCTGACAAGAGAGTGGCAGATATCACACCTTTGTAACAGTCTTCCTCATTGGCGAACCAGAGAGAAGTTTTAATCCCTGTCTCCTCCCTTCTCTTTGCCCTGCTGGCATTCTGTTGCTGTGACAACATGAACTTGGCCCCGCAAAGACAATGCTGTGAGGTTCTTCTCTGTCCTGGTATTGGGGATTAATCTCCTTGGTGATAGAGAAAGCAGTAAATATACATAACACAGCCCGGTGTCCCACTGTTCCAGAAAAGCATTGCTGAATCAGACTGAAATGTGCTCTTGGGAGGAGCAGGAGCCACACAATTAAAGCTCTGTCCATGCTGAGCCCTGACACCACGCACAGCAAAAGGTTATATTCTGCCTTTAATGGAAGGCTTGTCCCACCATGTCAGCAAGGAGAAACAGCATCTGCGCATCGCTCTCTTGTTATCAGGAGCGATTACACTGGGCCTCATCCATGACTGCAAAACCCAACCTGAAGAGCGCCATCTGCGTTAGCAAGTGCTCAGAAAGAGTTGGGCTCGCACGTAAACTATGTTTTCTGTCAGCCCATTTCAATTTTTCCAGCCTGCCACACTGTCAGTAAGAGAATAAAGGAGGTCACAGAGGGGGCTGAGCATTAAAAATTAATAAAAGAACTATTGCAGTAGTATTTTATATAAGTAATGCCATTCACATTTTCTCATTTAAGCTGCAATTTCTAAATATTCTCTTGGACTATAACTCAGTCTAATAAAACTACCAAATTACAGCATTAGAAAACGTCTTTTGTGTTACAGTCTTTAAGCGTATATACACACTGAAAATTATAGCAGCACCTGAAAACAAGTCCAGCTATACCTCAGGGCCTATAACCATTTCCATAAAACTCTATTTCGAAGATTTATAAATTGACATATAAATATTCACTTGGGCTACAAGCTCAGCTAAGCTGAGGTAGAACCTTATTTTAAACCACAGAAAAGTCCCTAACATTTTTTAAGGGCTTGTACCTCATTTCTAATAGGTCCTATATTAAGTCCCTTCACATTAAAACAATCTGTTTGGAAAATAGCCTTTCTCCATTCCAACAAAATTAGTACAGTTTTTCTCCTTTAAAAGCAATGCTTGCTTTAGTATGGAAGGTAATAGAATCTGAAAAGCAGTTTAAACAGGCAATGATAATATATATTCGGGCAGAAGCAAGTTCTAGAACAAAGTTCTTTCACAATGAGTTACAGGAAAACAGCCTTGTAAAATCAGGTTACATAGTGGTTTCAAATTTTAAGGGTGATTAAAGTATGAAAATGGCCATATACAACTGTAACCCTTCTGGACATCACCTTGACAATAAAAAATTTGAGAAAAGAAATAAAAAAGTAAACTAAAAAATGGACATATGTACTCCTAGTCCATCAAATATGGATATCAGAACTTCAAATGCTGCTTCAATATGGAACGGCAAACCAAATATGCTAGATAGGTTTTTATTGACAAGATTTGAAAAAGAAAAAACAGCATAGTGCTAATAATGTCCTAAGTATTACCTTAGAATGCTGGAATGCAAGCTTTTGGAAGATCTATTTGAATCCTGTGTGTGTGTGTGTGTGTGTGTGTGTATGTATGAGAGACAGTGAGAGAGAGAGAGAGAGAGAGGGAGAGAGAGAGAAAGAGAGAGGGAGAGAGAGAGAGAGGCTTGAACTCAGGGCCTCTCATTATTTTTTTAAAAATTTATTGTGAAAGTGATGAACAAGGGGTTTACAGTTACGTAAGGTAATAACTACATTTCTTTTTAAACACCATTATTCCCTGCCTCGTTTTCTCCTGCTTACCACTCCCCACTCCTCCCACCCAAGTTGTAAAGTTCATTTTTAGCAGAGTCTAGTGAGTATCATTGTTACATTTGTTCACTCTTTTTCCTGCTGTTTCTGTGATGCCCTTTCCCTTCTATAGATCAGGTAAGCTTATATACAAGACAAAGTGTACAGAAAACTAGAACAGAAAGAAAAGCTAGAAATAACTGCATACCAGACATAATAACCTTGTTTCCAATTCTTGGAGTTCATTTTGATATGCTTCGTTATATATGGTCCTATGCACTTAGCGATTGGGCTATTGTGATCCCTGCTAAGAATATCATAGACAAATTCTAATTATTACAAACCATAAAACCTGTATTTCTTTGGGCCTGGCTTGCTTCACTTAATGTAATTTTTCCACATCTTTCTATTCCTTACAAATGGGGCAATGTCATTCTTTCTGATGGAAGCATAGACTCCATTGTGTATATATACATTGTGTATATATACCACATCTTCCTGATCCATTCCTCTACTGAGGGGCAGCTGGGTTGGTTCCATAGCCTAGCTATGGTTAGTAATGCTGCAATAAACATGGTTGTGCTGGTAGCTTTCGTATGGCCTTTCTTGTGGTTATTTGGGTAAATGCCCAGGAGTGGGATTACTGGGTCCTAGGGGAACCTCCATACTGCTTTCCAGAGTGAGGACTTCTCATTCTTGTTTAGCTTTATTTTCTTAAGGCTCTACCACTTGAGCCATATCTTCATTTCTGCCTTTTTGCTGGCTAATTGAAGGTATAAATCTCTTGGATTTGTTTTCTGGATCTGGCTTTAAACCTTGAGTAACAGATCTCGAGCATCTTGAGTAGCTAGAATTACAGGTGTGAGCCACTGGCACACGACTGATAGCATATTTTTTAAGCCAAATGTAAAGAATGTTCAGTTTTAGGTAGCCATCTAAGAGCATGTAATTTGTCTTGCCAGATAAAGATACTGTTTCTTTTTCAATATATTCTCTAGGTCATTGTTCAATCTTTATTTTATTTTTTCTCAGAATAAGATTCCTTCTCTCTGAAAATAAAGGTTTTGTATATATAAATGGGGAAATCAGGAAGGTCCTGGGGCAGTGCACTGCTTCAAGAAAGCAACCACATTTTCTTTTATGATGAATTAGCTAATAAGGGCCAGTAATGGGCCCTGGTAAGGTAGCTAAAGAGTATCTGTTGATTTATTTCAATATGTCTATTATAAATTCCAGAGCAGTATATTTGAGGTATTAGCTCTCAATCCTCAAATATCCAATGGAATTTAAGCTTGATGAACTGAACTGGCATTCAAAAATAGGATAAGAAATGCAATGGATTTGCTCATTGTTGCATTGTTTGATCACACTTTTCCTATTATCCATGTAATATATAGAGGTCCATATTATGATGTGGAATTTGTTTATTTATTTTTTGTCAATACCAGGGTTGAACTCAGGGCCTTTCACTCTTGTTCTGTTTGTGCATTGACAACTAATGCTCTACCAATCGAGCCACACATCCAGCCCAGCTTTTGGCTGGCTGTTTTGGAGATGTAATGTCCAGGACTAGTCTGCCGGGGTTGATTTCAAACTATGATCCAACAGATCTCATTCTTTTGAGAAACAAGTTTTTAAGTGTGAGCCAACAATGCCCAGAATGGGGATGTATGTTTTATTGTGTCTCTAATGTCAAAAAAGCTTGAAAGAGATACTATTTTAGAAGTCCTCTGCTAAATGAAAGAAGTCATTAAGCCTATAGAAGGACAGTTTCAAGGTTATAGTAAGACAGTGTATTGGGATCTCCTCCTAAGATTTTGTTCTTGCTGGTTTAAGAAGATGGTTTCTAAACCTTGTTTCAACATGTAGGAAATATCTGGCATGATTTATGTTCAGAGTCCAACTCAGTGATTAGTATTACTAACCTCTATCCCGCTGTGCTGTTATATTTTCATGCGAAATCCTCCCTTGGTAAGATTCCTTTAAAGATGGCTAAAATGAGTTGTGTGGTATCAACTAAAGATATGCCTACCTTCCAAGTCACTTGGTGAGGATAAACTGTGTTCAATTATAGACACATCTAGAGAAGTGTAGTCAAGTGCATATCAGGTATGTAAACTCATTTGAAGAGGCTTTATTGTTCATGTGTGTTAGTGCTTTTTATTTATGAAGAACATTTCTTGGATTTGCTGTAACTCTATTATCCTATACATAAGTCAGTTGGTGCATATATAAACATATAGATATACATAGAGGAAAAGTGTGAAGTTGCTTTGTGCAAGCACTTTAAATAATACTTAAGGCTCAGTACAGTTTACTTCCAGTAAGCTCAAAATGAACTCCTTTCTCAATTATATTATAGGCCAAAGTTGGTCCGATGTTTCCAAAGAAAGAAAATTTGTCTTATGTTTTTAAATGCTTATTTGAAATTATTGTGTGGGAAATTTAATGGAAAATATAGAACACCTTTTATTCAACATTAAGATTTGTGTATTTCTGTTACTGATCTGTAATTCATTCCTTTAAAAGTAACCTTCAAGATTTGATCTTTTATTAGTCTATATTTACTAACCACAAGTACCTTAGAAGAGATGTAGGAAATGGTGGCATATTTCAGAACAAATTATACTGGCATATTCCATCACTGTTCTTACATAGAAATGACAACTAATTTTAAATCCATGTGTTTTCTTGTAATAGTTGTGATCTTATAAAAATTGTAGCTATAAGA